CTTGTCTGTTCTGGTGCGCTTGATATATGATACGACTGTCTCGAAGATAATTCCCAGCGTTTACGACTGTATTCTGAAAAGTAGAAAACTCCAAATCCTGAACATTAAACGGCATCCATAGTACCACTACGCGCAACAGTAAAAGTGCGTATTTACCTCTCAACGGGGTAGCCACTATTAATTACTATGTACACTATGGGACAGTACTTTTGGGCGAATTACTGAATCCCTCAAGAAAGTAGGCGACCCTCGAAATATCCGCATATTAGGTCGCCGCGTTTGTTAATCATACGGCAACCCCCTCTCGAAAGAATCTATTACGGTAGTAATACTTCATAGCACATCACTTCCCAGTGTAGCTTTGCGGTTGGCGTAATGAAGTGAGGGGCTAATGGTATCATGTACATACAGCACAAGAATGTAAACTAGTCAGAAATAATACAGCCTGCTTGGAGCCAAGACTCGTGCTGTAAACACTACACCGAGACTTTTGGCTGGAGAAAAGACCCCGTATTGCCTTAAAATCTAGATTTTACTTTTAAAAAACGGGTCTGAAGATGCATCTCAGTGCGACCAATATGATTTGTTCTAATTCCCATGTATTAATTTGCGGATAGTGGATTTTTTCCGACCGACAATAGGCATTTCAGCTATTATCTGTTCACAACACACCCCATCAGTTCGGTTGTTCGATATACAATAATGCCCAAAGGCAAACCAACATTTGGAAATAGTGTGGTTTCTTTCTAAGGAACGGAGGATGGTGTGGTCCTTGACAGAAAGCCCTGCCTCCATGATATCGTGCCTCATTGACTAAGCCAATGAGATCTACTCTAAACGTGATTTGACTGTCGCGTAACACCTAAATTGGGTTTGGTAATGGATTAAAGTGCTTGAAAACCGCTGGTTTGGTCAGTCAAGGCATAAGCAATGAATGCCGTTTCTTACTCGGACTGAGCTTCCAATGAGTAGCTCACTTCTACATGCTGGGGTAGCATTGGAAGCCGTTTATGCGGAAGCTTTTAGCAACCGAAGTCGGCATAATGTTTCTGGAGTGGTGCGATTCCAATATGCGGAACTAAGCTGGTGTTCTGTGACGGTTTTAAAGTGATGCGTAAAATAGTGAGTAAAAGGTCAGCATTCTCAATATCTCCTTAACGATCAGTTTGCTTGATGAATAGAACTGTAGGGAGATGAGATCGTTTCAACAATGCTGATATCATTGGTGATGACGCCAGCCTAATGTCCACTGACGGGATCATGGTCCTGATTTGAAGGTTAGGGGCGTCGTGGGAAAGATAATTTATTCTGGAAACCACAATGAGTCAAACGGTTGGCCAACTCAAGGCAGCCGTACCACATTGGTGCCGCATGTTGAAGTCCAAGTTATCGATTATGCCGTGACTGAGCCACGTGGTCCTGGTCCAAAAAAGAAATGTCGTCCGATTTCTTAACGCAGGACTGTTGCAGTCGAATAGGGCCGAACAACTGGGCGGAAACTCTCCGTCATCATCACTGTCAGCTGTAATAACCGCGTACTTGTCGTACAGTGGTTGTAGCTGCCACAGTTTCGTTCACCGATGATTTGGAGAGGTGGGCTAGGTAGCTGCGCATTGGAGGCGGGAGCTGATAAATCGGTGCGTAAATACAGCACTGTAGGTGAACTGTTAAGTAGGGGGATTGGAAAGGGAGATATGCATTGAAGGCGACAGCTTGGATGCATGAGCGCAGATGCATGAGAGTGCGACTGGGCCATGTCTGACAATGTCTCTAACACTGATATGGCTCGTCTCGGGGTCCCCATCCAGGAAGACGGCAATGACCAGCACAGCTGAGTTTGCTGGTAATGGCTTCGCTGCCAAGTCATTGTTTGACCGCCTCTGGCTCTCCGTATTGGACCTGTCAACTGTGTATCTCCTTCGACTCAGGAAATCGGGCTCTTCGTTAGAAAAATGAACATGATGGAGGTAAAGAGCACCAGCTCGATAAAATCGAATTGCAAACTGAAGGATGTGGCAAGAATTCTACATTTCCTGCCATAAATCAATTATTACTTTTACAGTCTATGACTGAACAATTCACATGTAGTGTGATATGCAATGAAAAGTGAGGGAGAACCCAGAGACTGTTCATGTGTTCAAAAGTTTCATCGTGGGCAAACTCAAAGGATGACAAAGCTGTAGAGCCTCACCGTGCTGTGGATGGGAAACGGACATTCACAATGAACACGGATAGTAGCCGTTTCTTTTTCGTGGCTCTTTGTTTATCATGAAAACCGATAAACCACACTGTATTGAGTAACTGCTCATTAGATCTGACAACCGACCTTCTTTAATAATCTTCTGGGGGGTGGGGCAACCGCAATCGAACGCCATCATTTTGATACCTCTATAACTCCAAACTGTCATCTAAAGTGAAATCGTTTGAAGATCAGTCCTTCGTGAACGTCCATTCAGGGACGAAGCCGTCCAGCCGTTTTTGTTGTTATTAGAGCAACTTGAATCCTTTCGGAGCTATTTGAAAATCGGAACTGCCGCTCAACCGGCCATTCGAAATAGATCGACTCGCGCAAAAAATGAAGCAAGCAGCGTGCCACGGATCGATTTTTCCCTTGCAAGCGTTACGGATTTTCTCATGCCATACCGACAAAGACTTGGCAATACAGCGTATTCCGTGGATTATGACCGCGCCAAATTAATCATGAAAAATTCTTAATACCGTCGGTTTGGCACGCCGCCGGCTTGTGCAAGTTGCGTGTGAATTTCAAGGCCACTAGGCACGGCCATTTGTACAGTCTGTGTAGACGTTGTTTACCGCAGTGTCTTTGACCACTTGCTGAAAGGTGCCTCGTATACAGGGGGGTGAGAACCGCTGCTCCACACTAAGTTCGTTATGAAGGGCAACGCTGATTCTGGAATTTGAACTGATGTCGATTCTATCAAGGTAGGGCAACCCACCCATATCTAAACCCGATATGTTGATTTAAGGTCAAAAACGATATCCGCAATAATAAAAGAAAAAAACATTTATTTGATTTAGCTTAAATGACGAAGCCGTCCAGCCGTTTTTGTTGTTATTAGAGCAACTTGAATCCTTTCGGAGCTATTTGAAAATCGGAACTGCCGCTCAACCGGCCATTCGAAATAGATCGACTCGCGCAAAAAATGAAGCAAGCAGCGTGCCACGGATCGATTTTTCCCTTGCAAGCGTTACGGATTTTCTCATGCCATACCGACAAAGACTTGGCAATACAGCGTATTCCGTGGATTATGACCGCGCCAAATTAATCATGAAAAATTCTTAATACCGTCGGTTTGGCACGCCGCCGGCTTGTGCAAGTTGCGTGTGAATTTCAAGGCCACTAGGCACGGCCATTTGTACAGTCTGTGTAGACGTTGTTTACCGCAGTGTCTTTGACCACTTGCTGAAAGGTGCCTCGTATACAGGGGGGTGAGAACCACTGCTCCACACTAAGTTCGTTATGAAGGGCAACGCTGATTCTGGAATTTGAACTGATGTCGATTCTATCAAGGTAGGGCAACCCACCCATATCTAAACCCGATATGTTGATTTAAGGTCAAAAACGATATCCGCAATAATAAAAGAAAAAAACATTTATTTGATTATAATAGCTTAAATGAACAAAACACAATTTGCATGCTAAGGAATGCTAAAGATTTGGACACGGTTGATGTTTGACCTTTGAAATTCCTGAGAAGAGCTGAAATATATAAACAGAAACACAGTGAGGACAAGTAAAATGTTCAAGTAGAGCGGTTTGGCGAAAGTATCCAACGGCAGACTACAAATGTTGTAGCATGTAATACTAAGGTAATACTAAGGTTTGCAAATGAGTGTATATTCGCTAATTTCTTGCAATTTGGTTTCAAGTAGAACATAAGGCTGACGGAAACCCGGGGACTGCGCCTACCTGATGAGCCGCCAGAAGGGCGAAACCGGTCGTGGGCTGTCGGCGGATTTTCAGCAACTTTATGAGTAGTACATTACAAAGGTAATACCAAGGTAGTTTGCATAAGACAAACCTGAACTGAAACGCGCAAGGCCAAATGGAGCGATGATACGTTGAATCATACTGTTTGGTTAGCACCCTTCTCAATGAGTTCTCAACGTTCCTTAAGGTCGCGGTGGACGAATAACTATCCCTCTTATATAGACGTTACACACTACTCACAGACGAGAAGTTCACTTGGGTCTCCTGTGAATACCAAATCTGTAAACAAATGAGTGTGTTTCTTCTTGTCTTCGGGGTCATTGTGTGGATGAAATGTGATCGTAGAAATGAATTCGGGCATCCAATATGGATCCATCGATCTTATTCCATCAAGTGGTCCGGGTGACTGCGAGTCCGATAATCGACGGACTGGCCGATAACGATGATCGAATTGAAGTAGGCCAGTCAATAGGTAGACACGTTTCCAACATAGGATATTCTTGCTCAAGTATGAGCATGCAGCACGCCACAGGTCATCCGAATACATCAGTTTCTTCCGTTCACGTATGCGTTGGCCTAGGTCGTTGAGAGTTCTTTGACGCGGCATGCAAACAACTGCGGGTACCTCGGCTAACAAGTAAACTGACTTCTGGTGCTTATTTACAGGAAACCTAGTTTTTTCGCATCTGTTAGAGACACACATTCATTTACCAGTGGTTTTGCTTAATCACAGATTGCTTACCCATTAGTGGACAGTCCTTCTCCGTTTTGCTACTCAGAGCTGAGTGCTAATTCTTTCCTTCTGTTCTTCGAGCAACTGACGAATCTCTTTTGGCGTATCAGACCCCACTTGATCTTCCAAGTATTTCGTTGTCTCCTGAATATCTTCGAGTAAGTAATCCTTTGGCAGATCGAAAATAGCTTTCCAGTCAGCATTTAGTCCGGACATATTGATTGTGCCTTGGTTGAAAACAGAGAGAGAGAGGGCAATATCAAGGTGACATAAGAGCAAGGACCAGTTTCGATCAGTTATTGTACTGTTGACTTGATACCGATAAGAGTAAGATTGCACAGAATTGGTTATTTCCGAAGCATGCTAAATGTAACCCCCCAGTTCAGAGAAAACTACGATGTGTATGTGGATTCTGAAGCACTTAAAGTAACTTTGTCACACGGATGAAGTCGGATCGTATAGACGTCATGTGAGATACAGCAGCTCTCCCTACAAAAACCCCTCCGGCAAACAGGCCACGGGTTTAGCGTGCTATGCAATTTTGCAATCCACAGAAAGGATCACCAAAGGAAAACGGATCACTCAACCATCTTTGGAGAGGTCAAAAATCAAATCGTTGCTGTCGTGGACTCTCATGCAACCAGCCCCTTGAGCAGAAGCTGCTGCATTGTGACACCGGAATCGTGTCACAGAGCAGACACGTGTGTTTTGTGAACTTACCTTCTTTCGGTAATAACCCAATCGGTGAAGGAACGGTCACGTCTTCTCCTTGCACACAACGTAGCATCCACTCAATCACTCGAATGTTGTCCCCAAATCCAGGCCAAAGGAACTTGCCCTGCTTGTTCAAACGGAACCAGTTGACATGGAAGATCAAAGGCATCTTACGCCCGGGCTTCTCCAGGTCAAGCCAGTGTTGCAGATACTTTCCAAAGTTGTAGCCGACAAACGGACGCATAGCCATCGGATCATGCATGACTACTTTGCCTGATCAAGGAACAGAGGTGAATAGAGTTGAAAAATCGTGGCTCGGAGGGAGAAGGGAGAAAAGCAAATAACTCAGAACACGAACGGAGAAAACAACTCAACTGTACTGTTTATCCGTGGCTTACTTTATAAGCACCTTGGTGTGTTGAACAAAGCATTGTCTGTCAATAAGTAATCCAGTGGATGACTTACTCCAGTAGGGCAATTCAGCAGTAACCGATAGGAAAGTACCTAAATTATGGGCAGTACTCAACTAAATACTCGAGAAAATATGATTTTGTACACTATCCGTCCAATTTTAAGGACCCGCAGGTGAGCATATTGACTACAGCCCGAAGCTAAAAGCCTTAATACACGGTACGATCTGCTCCTAGCTATCGGGGCGCAGTCAGCTGATGCTTAAAAAAGGTATTTTGTCGCAAAATAACTTGTTGTTATGTTTTTTTTAGAAAAAAAATGGAAATAAGTACCTTTGAATTCGGCAGCAGCAGTTGCTTCAGATTTCAAAGAAGCCCCAAGCATCACACCATGTTTCCAGTTAAAAGCCTGCATTACCAGTGGGATCCCCTCAGGTCGTCGACCGCCAAACACGATCGCCGAAATTGGGACACCTTTGGGGTTTTCCCATGCAGGATGAATGATTGGACATTGGCTGGCCGGGCAACAGAAACGTGAATTAGGGTGTGCCTTTGGATCATGTGATTTGTCGCTCAGTTTAACCCGATGTCCGAGCCATGTGATAATTTCAGTGTCCGGGTCAAATTCGTCCTCCAAACCTTCCCAAAAGAAGCGGCCGTCGACCGACTCGGCAATATTGGTGAATATTGTATTCTTCATACAAGTAGCAATCGCGTTCGGATTGGTCTTGCGGTTGGTCCCGGGAGCGACGCCAAAGAAACCGTACTCCGGATTGATTGCATGTAGAACACCCTGAGAAAGGCAAATGGATTTCAATGAGTAGAAAAGAAAAGGTTCAGATTTGAATAGTTCACAATTTTAAGGGAATAACATACGTTTTCATCGAATCTCATCCACGCGATGTCATCACCAACACACTGAATTTTCCATCCGGGCAACGACGGTTCCAGCATAGCCATGTTGGTCTTCCCACAAGCACTTGGGAAAGCGGCCGCGATAAAGTGTTCTTTTCCCTCTGGACTTGTGACGGACATGATCAACATGTGCTCCGCCATCCAGCCCTCGTCGTAAGCCATTGAACCAGCTATGCGCAGGGCAAAGCATTTCTTTCCCAGCAAAGAGTTTCCACCGTATCCACTACCGTAGCTGATGATCATGCGCTCGTCCGGTATGTGTGTGATGATCGTCTTTTCCGGATTGCACGGCCAGTGGTTGATGACTTTACCTGTGAAGAAGGAAAGGGTAGGAACAAAGAAATAGTATTTTCAGCAAAACGGTAGGTTTCTGTTGTCTCTGTCCCTGTCACCAAACAAGTATATAGGAATGATAGTCCACAGTTCCCCTGTGGGGTTGGCCTCAAGGTGCCTCGAGCTCAGAGCCAAAGGGATGGTCCAAGAACGTGAAGAAAGCACCGCTCTTAAGAGCTACGAAGATCTGTTGATCATAGCCTCCGCAAAAAAGAATCTAGACCACTACATGGACATAGAATTCCAAGAAGTTTCCAATTATTCACTTATGTGGTGGCTTCAGGAAAGATATGAGTAATGCAAAACAAATTGGTAGGACCAAAAAGGTGGAACCAAAATCTACTGACTTGTTTACAAAAGTAGTCCCCATCGTGAAGAGGATAACAATCATCAGTCATCATATCTTCACGAATAATTTACATCAGCCTATTTGGAGGAACCGTTTTGTTGATCTCGTTTTACCATTATTAACGTGTGTAAATCCAACACATAGTTCTGATTCTTACACTTTGGGACCATGCTGTAATTTTGTGTGTTTATCGAACAGATTCTGGAAGAATATTGCTAAAACAGTAAGGTAGAGGAGTTTAATATTGGTCTGGTTTGAGTATTCTTGTTTGCAACAAGTAGGAACACTTGAATTTTGAGCATACAAAGCTGTTCTTGAGCTCAATAAGAATGATTTTTTCCACACACATGGGTGTAGTCATCTCCGAATGTCTTTATCCTTTTTCGTAGAGTTGGGGCGAGATGCTTTGGTGGTAAGAACGCGAATTTACTGACCGGAAGGTCCGTGGTTTGAATCGAACCTCTGCATCTCGACCTCCCCTGGGCAACCTGACAGTATCCCATCCCTCATACCTCCTTCTGGTGGGATGGGAGTTAGGTACCGGAAGAATGCTACAGCTGAACGATTTACTTTTTTCGTAAAGTTATTTTTGGCAGAACCACACATGTTCTGTTTGTTTCTACAACTTACTAGGGCGTTCTTTCAGGGTGGATGGACGACTCAGCACCAGTGTTTCCGTCCGGGAAGGTTAAGATGAGGTCCTAGTGGGGATGAGAGTGACTTATCTCGGACACCCAAAATAATACGCCAGCTCAAGTTCTCCTGATCCACCGATCCAGGCTGAAATGCACATCATGATCAGCTTACAGAACTATAATCGCAAATGATGGCATACCGCCGGTGCGATCTGTGACCTCTGTTCATCATCAAACGCTCAGATACCTGAAACTAGCCGTCATCAACTTTGGGAGGTCTTATCTGGAGTGAGATGGCTCAAGTGGTTAGTGCGCGGATTTACTGACCGGAAGATCCTCGGTTCAAAGCTAACCTCCGCCTGTCGACTTTTCCCTTACAGACTTGGCCAACTTGGCAGTATTCCAGCCCTCGTGCTTCCTTCGGGTGGCATGGCAGCTAGGTACCGAAAGGGTGTTACAACCGAAAGATTTTTTTTCAATTTTCGGAGATGTTATCTATGCGTATCCTTACGAGAACGCTGATAACGTTCTAAGTGACCACCGAATCCATCTGCTTCAGATGTGGTTATCGATTTAACCAGTTTTTCAAGCTCAAATGACCAACGGTGCAGAGATTGCTTTCATCCAAGTATGGTAACCGATCGAAGGACTTCCATATTGTCTAGCCATTGACGCGGAATTGAACCGGATAGTATCAAGAAATATATGGCCTTATCACTGGATAACTCAGTTATATAAGGCCTCAAACGCCTTTTGAGTCACAACTGCGAGGTCTAAATAAACCATCGGGTGGCAATGTCGGGATCAAACGCTCACCGACTGCCCTGTGTAGTTAGTGATTTGATTTGATTCTTGGTCTAAACAACGCGGATCCTTGTAACCAATTGGTCACATGACCGATTCCTGTGTACATACTTGATGAGTTCTAATCAGGACAGAAGGCTCGGGTTTTCAAGATACGACGATTAGCTTGTTAATGACGTACCATCACATTGACCCCATGGGTCGTTAAGAATCTCACATGGCTTAGTGTTTTGAGATCGGACCACATGGTCACCCCACCCTTATGCCTGCAATGTTGCCCGATATCTGGCAGCATGAAACGGCTTGCTAAATCGTATTCTCTGGCTTCTTTTTGGTAACGTTGCACCACAGAACGACTTCATACTTGGAGATTAGGTGCATCGCTCGCTTATCCTGAGGTCAGACTGAAAGGATGCGAAACAATTTCACACAGCAACAAACCACGATGAGACCAAAACACAAAACTTACGAGTTGACGGACGTGGACATCCCATACTGTGCACACATTTCACGAATTCGTGGTGATTGACCATTACTTCCCAAACATCGGGGCAGACTCGAGTCATTATGCGCATACACAGTACTACGTAGTTGCTGTCCGTCAGCTGTATACCCACTTTACTTAACGGTGACCCAACGGGACCCATGCTGAACGGGATCACATACATCATTCGACCTGTCATGCATCCAGGCATTCGATCACGTAATGCGACATCCAACTCTTCCGGTGACATCCACTGACCGAGCATTCCCTTGACACCTTCGGAGACATGTGGGACTATGGAAAACTTGTTCGGGGAACAAATCCACGTTCGCGACTCCACCCGGGCCACATCATCTGGATCGGTGCGGCAAATGTAGTTTTCTTCGTATGCAGCCAGTCTGTGTAGAGTTCCACGTTCACACAGTTTCTGGATGATTTCGCTCGCCTCCCAGTGACTTCCATCGCATATATACAGCCCACGAGGTTTGCAAATGCCGACCTGAATGGATAAATTAGAAACAATGAGACCAACTGACGAAAAAAGTTGAAGTTGTCGTTTGCAGCGGCAAACGTTTTATTACGCTGCTAATGAAGCTTTAGATGGACCGACTAAGTCCTAAGCCGATCAGATAAACTGAAAGTGTCCAGGTATGGTCGATGCTTTTTGTTGTTCAAAATGCTTGTTTTGGCTTGTGAACAGATTTTTCTTATCTAGCCCTTGCATTCTTCTAAAATAACGACCGCCGGTAAATTCATTGTCCAAGACTTCCAGAGATGAGAGCTGAAGAGAGCGAGTTCTTAAAGAATTGTGATAGATATTCTACACATCTTTAGGCTCCAAGTCACACATAAACTAGGTTCTCTAGAGACTACGTGAATAAAGCTAACGGAACCTTGAACCAAATTCCCTCCCCAAACAGCTAGATGGAATTTAGAGGTGGTCGAATTGTTTTTGAAAAGCGAAACACCATGCTGCGAGACAAACTCGGAGATATAAGCAGCATCTATTCAAAATAACTTTTCTGCATATGACATGCACTGTCCAAACATAAGCATCTGATTCGTGTACAAATTAAACAGTTCAGCAAGAGATGTCTTAGCGTAACTGCCATGAGACTCAGGAGGTTGAAAAACCGGCAGTTCATCGAAGCCCTCCCAGAAGTATTCTATACGTCAGGACCTGTTACGAACCACTCAGCATGAAGTCGGTGTTGATAAATAAGAGTAGTTTAGTGGTGGTACCCTTCTGGTTCACAGTTGCTGTGCAAATCAAAGTAAGTAAGAGGGCTGAGATACTGCCCCATTTCCCATACACGATGAATTGGGACGCCAGGGTTGGGTTCGTATCGCCGACTAGTAACTTTGCAACTTAACCACTGATTTATCTCGACATTGTTCTGTTCTATTCCTGATAACTCCCCAGCAGCAAATGGTAAAGAAACTGAGTTTTTGATATCCAGGTCCTCATGCAATTCGCACTAGGAAGGTGAACAAAATGTCACATGTTTTGAGGAAAAGTTCGTTATCGAAAATTCTGCTCGAATCTAAGTGCCTGAAATTCCGCCAGCAATGTCTACCTTGTGCTGTCCTCTACCAACTAGATATTGTCAATTCTCCTCTATTTACACTTTGCTCTGCACTCTTCCAAAATAGACTCCTTCCAAGGACTATTTCCACAGAGACCACAACAGGAATGAACGTCAGTCGAGAACCGGTATGCTATTCCCCCTGAAAGAGACCAGCTACAAAGAATGGCCAAATATCCTCCTGTGTAGTGGTGGACCAGCTTAGAGGAGATCACCGCATTCCAGGCACGAAAGTTACTGTCGCTCCAATCATGACTTGTCTATTCAATCCAAACAATCGTGAGCTCACAAATAACCCAACGAAAGTTGTGGAAAATGAGGCATTTGAAGCTGATCGATGAAGAAGCGGAAATCAAACATCGTAGCCAAACGTACCCATTTGCCGATGAAGGACTGAGCCTCAGGAGGCAGCGAACTAAAGTCACCTTTGGCCACAGGAACTTGTCCCAAATGGGGGACAATAATTTGGTGAATTTCATAGCAAGGATTGTCTTCTTCGCGCCAAAGCATCTTGATAGATATTTTGGCTGCAACATGATAGAAGAAAGCAATAATTAGAAGACGAAGGTTTTATTCAGACGGGATTGGGTTATTGGTCCAGGTGACTTAATAGCGAAGGCATGTCCTGGTCTCTACAATTCAGCTTTCCCCAATGAAATCGGATGTTCCAAATAGCAGCCCATTGGCGCTTTTTGTAACTCGTATCAATCACATTTTTTTCATTTTTTGCCCGAATTCTATGACAATTTTGTACTCACGGAATGATCGAAAAATTACGAACACATTCAGTTTGATTAGAATATTTCTACGTGACCATTTGGGTCACTTGGATATTCTCCGATCTCTAGATCTGAAAACGACAACCACGGTGCTAAACTATAAGAAAAAAAGCTTCAAGGTTTCAACCTGAACTCCTGAATAAATCGCTTAGATGAAGGCCGAAAAACCATTTTGACCGGAAACTCCCGTAGGAAGCAAAGATATTTAATGATGAGAACAACAGCTGGTGTATAGCAGATGCTGATCCGACCATACAAAGAAGAGCCATGAGGACAGTGAAACTGAGGCTCTGAGATCCACATGAAGAAAGGCCGCTCATCTCTCAGTTTCAATGGCACTCTTCGCCATCCATGACCTGCCCCACCCTCCATAAAAATCTCCCTTCTCAACACTAGACTTTCTTGGGTGAATTAATCAAGCCATTCTAATTTCCTACAGGCACATAGCAACAGTTTGTAGCCCTTGACAGTAGAATGGTAAGTCGTTTCATGCGTAGCTCTTCTCATTAAGTTTACTGTAGGGACACTGAAAAGGGAATGGACGTTACGTGACAATATCCACGAGCGGTTTGATTACAGAGACAGGACAGTCACGTTTGAATTTTGTTGAGTACTTAGCCCGACACATTACGGTACGGACAAAGCTGGACCTATGTGTCAAAAAAACTTCAGTTGGTTTAAGGTCAAGTGTCCGGTTTGCTGTCTTTAATGTCTCGAAAAGCTTCCCGAAAAGCATGTTCACGCACAGTAACAGCACTGAAACTGCCTATCCATCAATATCTACTCCGTGTGAAACTCCCGAATTCCATCACCCTAGTTGTACCATGAAGATATTTTAAAATCGCCCCTTGCACAAACGGGCGTTAAGTATATATCGAAATCACCTACAAACATCTCCCGTCACTCCTCTGTAAGCATGCAAAAGGCACATCAATCATCTGGTTGATATTACGGGACCTTAAAGCACTAACATGGGACATAACATAGGTGAGATAGTTAACCTCCTCTCTTGTCCTACCCAACAACATAATCACACATTGATCTCAAGTGAACCAGAATAGAAAACCACTGAGATCCAATAGTAGTGCCCGATGGTCCAGTTTCTTTTGTAACCGGCTGTAGATCGGTTAAGTTCCAGCCAGAGTGCTGCGTTTAAACATTGACCACAGGTGTTTGGTTATTCAGGCTAACGAGCGCAAAAACCCATAGGAGTGCTGCGTTTAAACATTGACCACAGGTTTTTGGTTATTCAGGCTAACGGCTAACCCATAGCCTAGCTCGATGCACTGAGTGATTAATTGGGTTAATTTGAGGTCCGGATCTCCGCACACTTCCAACCTTTAAATGTGTACAAGGTCTAAATGGATGGTCAGGAGATAGAGACAAAATTGGTTAGCCCGGAGAGATATCGGAGTGAATCCATCCGTTAGTGTGTCTCTATGCCTTTTGTAAGCTTGCATTTCTAGTTTAGACAATATCCTCATCATTTGAAGCAACACAAGACGAGAACAATTATGCTTCACTGCCGTAAAACTCTATCAACGTGTGATGGAAAAAAGAAAGGGGGTCGGGAGTGGAACACAGGAGAATGTGCCTTTTAGCCACCGCAAGTAACGCCAAATTGCAAAATCGATTTTGGCCTCTGAGATATATATGTTGACTTTGCCTGTCACACTACGGTTAAAGATGATGAAACGTCCGATAAACATATGGCTTCAAACAACTTTCAGTGTCACACGTGCATACTTTTAAAGTTGAAACACAGCATAGTGGAACGTCCTAATCCAAATTTTCGGTTTTCGTGGACAAACGTCCTCACGGATCCCTACAATAGGTTGACTGAAGAATCGATTATAGACTTCTAGTATCCCTCCATTAGATAGCCCGGTGGATAGAGCGCGAATTTACCGACCGAAAGGTCCGTGATTCGAGGCCAAACTCTGCATTTCGACGAAGAGCCAAAAGCTTCACGGCGTACAAAATGACATCAGTTCAAAAGAGTACCAATGGCTTTTAAGGAAAACAAAAATTTTGGTGGGATGTTTGAGGAATATTTCCTGAAATTATCCTACTGTACAGCGTAACAGAACGCTGGTACACATCAGAATCTGATCCTTTTTGTGGAGCGGTATATTTCAGAGCGAAAATCTAATATAAATGCCTGGTTAGATAGAGACATACAAAATCAGGTGCGTTTGATGAGCAAAGTTGAAGGGCAGAAATTTCGGCAGTGGATTGTTCCTTTGCCTGGATGTCCGTTTCTAGGAAAACCTCGCTTCCCCAAACATACAGTTGTCTAAATACTCACGAGAAATAGATAACTACAGTTGGTTGGTCTCGTTTCTGTGCGGGAGGGGCGTACGATTTAACAGCCCGCGAGACAGAAGCCACCACCGCATATCAAAGGTCAACGACCTAATTTTCTGTCTCAATAAAACATTCATGCAGCGTCAGGTCTTTCTTTTGTCCAGAAAGATATTTCGGTACTGCTTTGTGCTCAGTGTAGTACACCAATTGCTGGGGCTCTAATACTTTTACTCAGTTCCTCGCACTGACTCCTTTTCTATTTCGATGTTTGCCTGCCTTGTCGTACATTTCTGGTTTGGATCTCCCTTCCCAACATCCAGAAATGTTCAGTTGTTTTTCTCGTTTTCATCAGTCCGTCATCTTTCGTCTTCTGCAAGCGTTCCAGAACGTGAACGCTTTGCCCCGCGTGACAAACAACTGGTCGGCCCGTTTTGCGTACAGATACATGTACACTCAAAATAAGATAAATAAATAAATATAACCTTTGTTTGCATATTCTAAATGACACCATCGGAGTTTTTACTCCCCAATGAACCTTCTTGTATGGTTTGATGCGCTAATTTTTGGTGTCCAGTTATATGTTCCCGTCCTCAGAGCATTTGTCCACTGAGCTTTGATCAAAACAAATATAGCATAAATAAATTGGTCTCCGAACCAGCTTTTTTACCACTGTATCACCCAGTGTGGCATCCATGTATGTAACGTCGCACATAAATCTCTTCTTCATACTGGGCTCGATGTACTGTGGCAGCAAAATTTAATGCAATACATGATATTCGTTCATGAATTTTTAATTGGCTGCGTATTTGTGCAATTCGCAATAAAGGTTACATCTAATAACGTCTCAATTCCAGTGGTGCCTACTAGTCTTGAATTGTTGGATAGCTGAGGCGTATGGTGAGTTGTGTTTTCAATGGGGTATCAAGTTCGTTAATTATTTGCCATGAAAAACAACGGTTGCCATTACGCTGAACGCTGATGGCAAGGTCACGGTTCAGCGCCGACTACCGTATTACACATACTTCTCTATCAAATAGACGTGTATCACAATTAGACGGAAAGTTACATTAAATAAACTGACCGGATTTATTTACCTAACCGTAAAGTTCCGGAAACGCGTACGCTAATAATGATGTGCTGCTAGATTGCAGGCAGGAAGCCAGGTTTGGGTTCAAACCATGGAGACTCTGGTCAGTAGGTTTGCGACTTAACCGTTGTGTTATTATATATCCAGATTTTCCTCAGTGCTTTGTCTGTGCTGACCATCCATAATCCCCCCTTCCACACTTTGTTCTCACAAAATCTGCAAATTTATTTTTCAGGAGCCGGAGGATATCGATAGGTACCAAGATAATTCAAACTGGTATAAAAGATGAACATTTCAAGGCTTTCTACATAGTAAATCTATTTTATGGTAGTCTTAAATGTCATTACTAAAGTGTTTGTTTCCTACAGTAAGCCTAACAATTAAATTTGTTGTAGATGGCAATGAATACAACCCTTATCGTAACTTTCTTGCTCCATTCTCTAAACCTTCAACTCCTGAAAGATTTATGAGATTCTCCCCCACTACTGGTGCGACCTGTGTCAAAGTGTAGGCGAATATCATACAGTTTTAACTATTCCCAGCTACGCCTCTTCCACGGCTGGACTGTCATGGCCGACAGCTTTGAAGTAACCAAAAATGTAATGCAAATGCACAATGTTGTACAGCCCTATTGACCAAGATTACTCTTTGTACTCATGAATGCCGGCTCACTGACAGGTAATGATGTTGTAATGAAAAAGGAAGTCCGTCCACTTGAACATATGCCCCAAACTTTTGAGTTAAACATGAGTTTGCTCAAACATGTATGGAGGCAGTGGTAGTTAACTGGACGGCAAAATTCACCAAGAGTTCAACTTAAGACCTGAACAGACTAAGAAGTGACTCCAAAAAGTGTAAAACGACCACTTACCACGGTGACTCAACACTATATCACTTTCCCTATATGCATGCGATCAGCAGATTTAATATCAGGCTACTAGACAACCTGGAAATGGCAACTATATAGTTCGTCGCTTGTTTCAGCTTAGGGTCCTAAAAACGACCAGTTACCAGTAAGCCACAACGAACCGAAGTGCGATGCAAGTAGCTGGTGCTAAAGGCCACAAAGAAAGGTTCGGGTCCGCACACAAATAGCGAAACTTCATGATTTAATTATCACAAAACGATTAACATCCTACCATTGCAGATGGAATAATGTACTTCAAGATAGGTAAATGATTCCTACCCTTGGTAGAAACGTATACTGGTGTAAAAGATGGCAATAGCAAGACGTAAATGCCGGTGGCCTTACATCGATTCTGCTATAAGCTGAAAGGCATCAATCTACGTTCATTATTTACATAAATATCCGGAATGTCCATAATTTCAACAGAATCTTGGCGGAGTTCGTGCAGACTACCTGACCTATTCCTGAACCAGTGCTAGTGCTAACTTTATCCTAAACAGGCTCAATTTTTGAACGAAGCAAGCAGATCCATGTGTCTTGAAAGGGGCTATCAATGGCAAAGGAGTGCTAATATTCCTGGTGCTATTCATAGATTAGTGGCTATCAATGACAAAGGAGTGTCAATATTCCTCGTGACTATCAATAGATTAGTACTTTCTGTGGATGGCTCAGAGACATTTTTACACTGCCCCTCAACAGCTTTCTGTCATAAGACGAACCGCGAATTTGTGAAAAGAAGTGATGATACTTTTCTTGTGGATAGAACGAATGAGTTTCACGGTCCCACAGATGAAGGTCCCGTATACCATTTAAAACGTTGTTCGCGTACTGAAATGCATGAGCAAGGGAGCTATACTGCTTCGAGTCCTCTGATTGGTATCCTGTTGAAAAATGGTGACCTGTGCATGGTAACCTTAATACAACTGGAAGAATTTTTCTTTCACCTGCGTCACATTGACTATACAGATATTACGGACACTGTATCTTCTCACTTTGGTAACGTCGTCCGGCAGCCAAGTGCATGCACTTAATGCAGGCATTAACTGCAAGATCAGAATCGTGCCGAACAAAAGGTACTGCTTTCACTATGGCTGCTTCTAGAATCCTCAAGGTATATTCAACATGTAGCTAGTGCAGCAACTGCTAATAATTGAGCTTTACTGATAGACTGCGCATGATTTACGATGCCTTACTAGGCCTGCGAATCTCAACAAAACACTGGTTATTCATTCCTGAATTCGGAATTCTGGTAAACAAGAAACATTCAAGTGCTCCTGCAACTCTGGCTGAGTATTACAGAATTTCTCGTTTAGCTTACTCGTCTTGACACCTGGTGGTACACATGTGGAGGTCAAGCTTATCATGCAACCTCCAGCTTGTAGCGAGATAACTACGGGCAGCTGAAGACCAACAAGACGAGGTACTAGTCTCGGTAACTAAGCCAAATCACAAATCAGTGTTAGTTTGGGCGGTTATGTTAAAGCGTGCCAAAATTACACTGACAGAACCATGCCTCTTGTTACCATTAATACAGGCTTAAACGACTTTTATTTGTGAATCGCGAAAAAATTATTTATTTCGTATATGCACGAAATTGTTCACTTACCCCACGAACTTACTCCACGAAACAAGTTATGGCGAGAGCTAGACGATAAGGGGCGGCAACTGAGACCAGCTTTAAATAGCCGCTTGCTTTGATTATCAAACTTTGATTTGATTAAATGTAGAGACGCGTTAGAGGTCAAAATAAGGACTCGGGGTGTGAAACGTCACTAAATTTGTAAATTATCAATTCGAAATTCGGTAACAGAGGGGCGAACACGCCCGCCACCATGGCGCGCGGTACGAAACAGGAAGATTTGTAGCCTATCCGTTGAATTATAGAGTGAAATAACGAATTGGCGGAAAGAGCGGCCTGAAAAAATTTCTACATGCACACAAACGAACACAGGTACCGCAGAAGATTGAGTGTTATAGAAGGTGGTATGCCAGTGATAAAGTGGCAGGGGTCAAAAATATTTTTTCGGGCCGGCCATTTCTAGTCGTAAACAGCTTTTAAGCAGAAATTTGGATTAGCTGTATTTGTATTTTCAGACTGGTAGTGAATAATTTTTGAGTATCTTATTGCGTATCAGCAAAAATACAATCCCTCGGAACTTCGCCCACTGCCAATCCAAACCCGCGAAAATGTTGGCTTTTAGACTACAGCATGAAGACGAATAAGGTCGGAAAGATTTGTTGCAAGCTGTGGTTTTATGAAACAAGAGGTTGGCTGCAGTTTTAAACCTTGCGCCTATAAGACTCAAGACCTGAGATTTTACCCGAACGAACTTATCATACCCATTTGATTCTCCAGAACAGCGTTGATTTACTCGGAGCAAGCGCAGCATCTATGCAATTGAAAACTCCAGATCATGTATAGGATTCAAGATTTCATTGTGTTAGAAGGCGAGTGGTGCAGAAGCTTTTTTGGAATGGAATAGGTCAAAGGAATAGATTAAAATGAAAGTACGGCTTTTGCGCGCGCTTGCTATCTGCCCACGGTGGAACCTTCACCCGCACACGAGCTCCACCTTGCAGTTAATTTTTATGGCGCTTGTATGGTAATATATTTTTATCCAAGAGTTTATTCTTTAAGAGCTGCTACGTCGAATGCCTAATTTTTATGTATCGGGGAGGGACGGGTTGTCCTACTATACACACGAGATCGACTGCGTTTTCAAGTGGAAGCATTCAAGTACCTGGAACGATGCTTCAGTACCTATTCAACGTGTCGTGTTGCACCAACTAAATTCTGCAGAACTGGTACGCCGTGCAATCGCCGAAAGATATTTGGCCTAAGTCGTTGAGAAGGACCAAACGCATCGACATCCGCATCGATGCCAACGTTGGTAAGCTTCCAAAACACTCCCAGTCACCAACGTTTTTTCGAAAGAAAGGGAGATAGGTTCAAACGCATATATCTACGCTTTTTTCTAGGCTTCGTTTGGGGACACGCAACGCAGGGGAGAAGAAACGGCAACTTTCTTTGAAAGTCTTGTACTTTTATTCCATTAATGCTTTCACATAACTTGAGCTGTGACTGAAAATAATATAGAAATCTTATCGAACACAATAAAAACGAACCCGCCAGTGATCATTGACAGATTAAACTAAAAGTTGGCATGTCATTCTGGGAAGATGTACTTTGGTATCTCGAAATCATCATCACCACCATCATCATCAAAGACAGAAACATCAGTGTTGCCACTGATACTTCACTGTCGTACGACCATAAGGTTCGTCTAGTTATATATATAATTGTATTAAAAGCC